TGGTCGTCGAGAGTTTTGTGTGTCTCGCCGTTCTCGACAGAGGTGTGATCGCGGCGCCGCCTGGCGGCGCTGGGCCAACGAGTGCATCGACAGCCTGAATGCCCTCAACGGCCATCGCAGTGGGGGGCAAGAGGTTGCAGCTCCCGACGGCGCAGCTAACCTGCCGCAGAGGCTGGTGCTCGACCGCATCGCCGAATCATTTCAATATTTTTCGTGGCCGTCCGACATGCCTGTCAACAACGCCACCTCGGACGCTGCCCTTGAAGAGCTGCTCCGACACACACCTATTCTGAAGATGATACCACGGTTCGACCCTATGCCAAGGCTTCTGTGTCTTGGCCCGCTGCGGGAACGACTCCTACCCCGTTGGTCAATATCTGCAGCGCGGCCTCTCTCTCTCGGCTAGGGCCATGGAGGACGAGAGTCCAGGCGCCGTGAGCCTGGACTGGTGAAGCCGTACGTCGACCCCCTCCTCTTGAGTTGCCCCGACCGCTACGCTGACTTCCTTCGTCGGTTGGATGCCGCAGGGATGCTCAGGTTCCGTCCGCGTCAAGGCCGTGAGCAGCCCTCTGTATGGGGGGGTTCTTCGCGGCCAAGAAGGACGGGAATTTGCGGATGGTTTCCGACACACATTGCTAATCTCTCTTTCGTGGAGCCAGCAGGGACCAAGCTGCCGACGAGTTCGTCGTGGGCAGGTGTAGAGATCAGCCCCGAGATCAATGGCCACATGGCGTCGGCGGACATGCAGTGCGCTTTCTGCCACATGCAGCTGCCCTCGGACCTTGCCCATGCTTTCACTCTACCGTGCGCGTCTAATCGGGTGCTTTGCTTGGAGGGCGTGGGGCTTGACATCGACGTGGTGCCTGAGATTTTGGTTATGCCGATGGGGTGGAACTGGGCTTTGCACTTCTGCCAGGACGCATTGTGCAACATCATCACGAGGGACGCGGCGGTAGAGGAGAGCCGCTCCATCGTCGATGGCGCCTCCCCCACTGTGCTGCAGCTGCCCGACGACTGGGCGGTCGCGGCCTATGTCGACAACTTCTGTGTGGTCGCGGGCCCCCAGGAGCTGGCCGATCGCAAATTGCGGCTCATCTCGGACGCTGTCTCTCGTCATGGCCTTCCCGCTCATGAGGTTCAGGAAGCGCGGACCTCTATGATCTTCACGGGCCTTGGGTTCGACGGAGCGAAGGGAACCATGAGAGTGCCCTTCGCTCGCCTCGCCCGTCTGCGATTGGGCATCCGTTCTGTGCTGCGCCACCGAAAGATTTCTCCTCGCGCTCTATCTACGCTGGTCGGACATATTACTTGGGCTATGCTGAGCAGGCGAGAAACGTTGTCCATGATGTCCGCCACTCTTGCTTTTGCCCGGGGTCGGCCCTCTGAGCCTATCAAGCTTTGGGACGGGGTCCTCAGAGAGCTCCAGTGGGTTCAAGCTACGCTGCCGTTGTGGGCTACGTCTTGGCGCCTTCCCTGGGCCCCCGACGCCACGACGTCCGACTCGTCGGGGCATGGGATTGGGGTCTGCCGTCGCAAGCTCCCCGTGCCCGTCGTCGCCGAGATCGGTCGTCTCGCCGAGAAGGTCAGGCACAGGCTCACTGACGCCATCGTCGTTCGTCGTCATGCCCTCGCAGGAGCCCCAGAGGATCCAGACGGTGTCGAGCCTCTCCCTCCTGGCGAAGGTATTGGTCACAGCAAGAGCCCGAAGGAGTGCCCCATCAAGCCACATCCTGAGGGGCCCGTGGGTCATGGTGGGTCTCGGGGCTTGGACGACATCGCCAACTTTGAGAAGTCCGCGAACGCGGGTGCGAGGCTCCCTGGCTTTACCGAGGTGCCCCGAGAGATCCTGAAGGAGCCCGACTGGGAGGTTGCCCACTCTAGCAGGGCCCATGTGCTTGGGAAGAACATCTTAGAGTCTGAGGGTGACGCTCTGGAGTTCGCCCTTCGACACCCTCTGCGTGCAGGGCCCTTGCAAGGGCACCGCATCCTCCTCCTCGTGGACAATTTGGCTCTGGCTCTCAGCGCAGGCAAAGGCCGAGGTCGCACCGCCAACGTGACCAGACCCTTGCGCCGTATCACGTCACGATTGCTGGCCACGGGGTGCAGGGCATACGCGCGCTGGGTCCCGTCCGTGTTCAACCCGTCGGACGCCCCGTCACGGTCGGGCTTCTCCGCGGGGCCGCAGCGGCCTGGTGGTCGTGCCAGTGGAGACGGTCTAGCGACGGCTGGCTTGCGCGAGCCGCTCGCCCTGCGTCAGGGCGCTGGCTCGCCCGACGCTGGCCCCACAGGCGTCGGCCGCGGAGCTGGGCCGCGGGGGCCTGGGTGCGCTGGGGCTCTCGGCCCGAGCCTACTACACCGACGCATGCTACCTGGCGCTTGCCCCGGGGCTGGTTACCTGGAGCCTGTGGATGGTCCTCGCCTGGCTGACGGCCCACAAGCGCGACGTGACCTTGACGGTCTTCCTGGCGCTCCTGGTCTTAGACGGCCCCGACACGGCGTAGGCGTGGGCCACGATGGGAGCCATTCGTCACTTGCTGCCCGCACTGGGACCTCCTCGCTCTTCACTCCCAAGGGCTTGCAAGGCTCTGGTGAGTGGGAAGGAGCTGGAGCCGCCGTGCCTGCGGCTGCCGATTCAGCGCACAGAGGAGATGGCGATCGTGGACGTGATGATCTCGCTCTGCCGGTTGCCGCTCGCGATGATTGTCCTCCTCACCTTGGCGGTGCACCTGCGGCAGTTGGAGGCCTTTCGGCTTCGCGGCGTCGCGCTCGGGGCCCCCAGCTCCCTGGTGTCGAGGCGGGCTCTCCCCATGGGACAGGATCGAGGCCGATGGATCTCCGACGCCTCCCTCCGACCGTACGCGGAGAGGACGAAGCTCCAGCAGCAGTTCAACAGCATCTCGCCAGTGCGGATGGAGTTCGGTCGCCGGGTGGCCTCGTACCTCGCGATGCTGATCCTGAGCGCAGCGCTGGATACGCTGTTCCCGCCTCGCGGTCCCGTGCAGGGGGCCAGCACGTCGCGTGGCCAAGTGAGGCCATCTCTGACGATCAGGTAGACGGCTATCTGACCCGCCAATTGGCGGCCGCCTTTTCCGCCGCCCAGGTGCGGCCTCGCTCGATGTTCATCGGTCTTGGTGCCGCCTCTAGGCCGATCGCGCGGCGCTGGCGTGCGCTGGGTTTTGCAAGCATTTGTCTCGATCCGAGCAGGCATCAGGCCTTTGACTGGTCCCGACCCGCGGTGCGCCAGAGGATCATTGGCTGGCTTCGGGGGTCCGTGGTCTTGGGTGTCTGGGCCGCTCCTGCCTCGGGTCCTGGGCCCCCCTCCCCTCGCTCTCGGGCCTTGCGGGGTTCGCTTGCCAGCTTGATCCTCGAGTGCCATCGGCAAAGGGTCCCTTTAATTGTTGAGTGCTGCCGCAGGTCTCCGCCCCCGCCCCTCGCTTCTTTCAGACACGCGTGCTCGCTGGCCTCGCAGAGTGCTGAACTGGACTTCTGTCAGTACGGAGGGGCCAGCGTCCGTCCGACTTATGTCTGGGTGTGGGCGGCCAAGTTTCCCGCTCTCAACGTTCGGCCTCCGTGTAAAGCTCGCGGCAATAGATGCTCTGGTAATTGTCGGTGTCATGCCAAACCTGCTGGCTGCGTGGACAAATACCCACGTCAATTCAGCCAGTGGGGTGCCGATTGGCTCGTGTCTTGTGCTAATAATCTCCGCGATGCAAGGTTCAATAGGCTAGCTCTGTGATAGTAATAAATGCTGGAGGCCGTTGGCCAGGGGTTGCAGGTATGCCAAGTACAAGTCTCATATGATGTTGTCTGCTGCTCTGTCTGTCTCGAGGCTCCTGCTCTGACGGCGAGACAGTCGCCCTCGACCCCAGACAGCAAAGATGGTCTCTGGCACGCAGAGAGGAATAAGATCATATAACTGGTTGCTGAGTGCTTTGATCGTTGCAATGTTGTGTGCCGCAACCACTGCGGCTCAAGTCTCCCTCCCTCCCACCCCGCTTTCGCCTACAAGTCTCATCTGAAGTTGGCTGCTGCTCTGTCTGTCTCGAGGCTCCTGTTCTGACGGCGAGACATTCGCCCTCGACCCAAGGCAGCAAAGATGGTCTCTGGCACGCAGAGAAGATCATCATCATCATCATCATCAGCATCATCATCATCTCATCATCACCATCATCAGCATCATCATCCGTCTTCTCCTCCTCCCCCTACTCATCATCATCATCGTCCTCCTCCTCCTCCGCCGCCGCCTCCGCCACCTCCGCCTCCGCCCCCGCCTCCTTCTCCTCCTCCTTCTTCTCCTCCTCCTCCGCATTATTAGTCGTATCCTCCTCCATGGGTTCTCTGTCTCTCTCTCTCTCTCTCATTCTCTCTCTCTCTCTCTCTCTCCCCCTCGTCCTCCTCCGAAGAAGGGCCTGGGCCTCACAGAGGGTGCCCGTCGAAGAGAGCGCGCTGCTGCACCAAGAAAGGTTCCAGGAGCGGCCTCGAACGTGAGCACCCTGCATTGGGCACGAGGGCTACCATTCCCACTCGGGTGAAGGTGGAGGGGAAGGAGGAGGAGGAGGAGGACGAGGAGGAGGACGAGGAGGACGAGGACGAGGACAAGGACAAGGAGGAGGAGGGGGAGGAGGAGCGAAGGAGGAGGGTGGAGGGAGGAGGAGGGAGGAGGAGGGAGGAGGAAGGAGAGAGGAGGAGGGAACAGAAAGAGGAGGAGCACGAGGAGCGCGAGGATGACAGGAGCCGAGGAAACGGGAGGAGCGGGGGGGAAGAGCAGCAGTAGCAGGAGGAGAAGAAGGAGGAGGATGAGGAGGAGCGGGAGGAGCGGCAGGGGGATGAGCAGCAGCAGCAGGAGGAAGAGAGCGACGAGGAGGAGGAGGAGGAGGAGGAGGAGGAGAAGGAGGAGAAGGAGGAGGAGGAGGAGGAGAAAGAGGAGGAGGAGGTAAACAAGGAGGAGGAGGAGGACGAGGAGGACGAGGAGGACGATACGATGCCTCTGGCCGCCCGAGGTCGTCCACGGCACGGGCCCCGACCCGGAGCGGTTGCGGCCCCTGGCGCACGGCGCGGCCGCGCGTTGGGAGCGCGAGGCTGCGAGGAGAAGGAGGGTCCAGGATAGATAGTCATGCCCGCAGCTTCGAGGAGGAGGAGGAGGAGGAGGAGGAAGAGGAGGAGGAAGAGGAAGAGGAGGAGGAAGAGGAGGAGGAGAAGGAGAAGGAGAAGGAGAAAGGGAAGGAGAGCGGGGGGGCAGGAGGAGGGCGGGGAGGGAGGAGGGCTCAGGAGGGGGACGAAGGGGGAGCGTGAGGCTTGGAAGGGGGAGGAGGAGGAGGAGGAGGAGGAGGAGGAGGAGGAGGAGGAGGAGGAGGAGCAGCAGGAGGAGGAGGAGTAGCAGCAGGAGGAGGAGGAGGACGACGACGACGACTACTACGACGACGACGTCGACTACGACTACGACTACGACGACGGGGAGGGGGGGAGGGAGGGAGGGAGAGAGGGAGGGAGAGAGGGAGGGAGGGAGGGAGGAAGAGAGGGAGGGAGGGAGAGAGAAAGTGTGGGGGTGGGCGGGGGGAGAGCGCGGGGGGGGAGGCGAGGGGAGGGGAGGGGAGGCAAGCTAGGTGCGCTCGCGTCATGTCTGACGTCCTACCCCTCCCTCCCATCCCTTACCATGGCGTAGATCTCCTCCATATTCGCACAGTCGGATGTCGTAGCAGGGCATAGCATTTCATGGCGTAGCTTGGTGTTGAAGACCAACGCATAGCCTGACATAGCATGGCGTGGCGACGCCCCAATGTGTGGGAAGGCTTCGGCGGCCCAAAAAATCAACGAATCGGCACCGAATGTGCAATCACTTCCGATGGTTGCTTCGGGGGGGCATGTTTCAGATGTTGGGGCCTATTTGGAAGGACCGAAAACCATGCCGAGGCATGGCGCTGAAAATAACGACGCCAGCGCTGCAGCGGGATTCGGCACGAGCGGAAGCGCGGAAATGAGGCCATCGCTGCAGCGGGAGCACGATTCGGAATGAGCGGTAGCCCGAAAATGGGGCCAGCGCTTCAGCGAGAGCAGCATTCTAAACAAAAAGAAAAATGAAAACCCGTTTCCCGGAAATCTTGTGTGTAATCAAAAACCAGTACGCGGAGGGGTGGCCGAATGTTTCCCGGACGTCATCAGGGGAGAGAGGAGAGTAGTATTCACATTGTGTAATTGTGGAGGGGAGGGGGGGGGGGGGGAAAGGGGGAACGAGGGAAAAGAAAAAGGGGGAAGGGGAAAAGAGGGACAGGGGAAAGGGGAAGGGGAAAGGAGGAGATACAGAGAGAAGGAGGAGGCGGAGGAGGAGGAGGAGGAGGAGGAGGAGAAGAGGGGGTCAGGAGCGAGGAGCAGGAGCGAGGCAGCGAGCTGCCAGCCGCCAGAGGGGGGGCGCGAGGCCGCCCGGAACACGCTGCAGGGCGCCACCTTTGCGCGCCGCGCGGAGCGCGGCCAGCTGCGGGGGCTGAGCGCGCGGGCGCTGGCCGCGGGGGTGGGGGGCCAGGGGGGCGGAGGCGGACGGAAGGGGGAGGGCGACGGGGGAGGGGGGAGGAGGAGGGCAGGAGGAGGAGGAGGAGGAGGAGGAGGAGGAGGAGGAGGAGGAGAAAGAAGCGGAGGCGGAGGCGGGCGGCGGCGGCGGCGGCGGCGGCGAAGGGATGGAGGAGGAGGAGGAGGAGAAGAAGAAGAGGAGGAGGAGGAGGAGGAGGAAGGAGGAGAAGAGGCGGAGAGGAGGAGGAGGAGGGAGGAGGAAGGAGGAGGAGGGAGGAGGAGGGAGGAGGAGGAGGAGGAGGAGGAGGTTAAACAAGGAGGAGGAAGGAGGAGGAGGAGGAGGAGGAGGAAGAGGAGGCGAGGAGGACGAGGAAGATGCCTCTGGCCGCCGCCGAGGTCGTCCACGCCACGGAGGGGGGAGGGCGGAGGCGGGGGGGAAGGGGGAATGCTTGAGAGAGGAGGGGAACCCCATCATCTCCCCATCCCTTCCATCGAGCTCTCCTCCTCCTCATCCTCTCTCCTCTCCTCCTTCCTCCTCCTCCCTCCTCCTACTCCTCATCATCATCATCATCATCATCATCAACATCACATCCTCATGCTGCTCTCTCCTCCCCTCCCCTTTTCTCCTCCTCCTCCTCCTCCGCCTCCTCCTCCTCCGCTCCTCCTCCTCTCTCCTCCTCCTCCTCCTCCTCCTCCTCCTCCTCCTCCTCCCTCCTCCTTCCTCCTCTCTCCTCCTCCTCCTCCTCATCCTCCTCTTCCTCCTCCTCCTCTCCTCCTCCTCCTCCTCCTCCTCCTCCTCCTCCTCCTCCTCCTCCTCCTTCTCTTCCTCCTCGTCCTCCGGCCAGAAGCCTCGGCCCCTCCTCCCGTCACTCCCCATCCCCCATCCGTCCCGTCACAGTAGCCGCCCCTTGCCGGGGCAGTTGCACCTATCCTGGCTGCGCCTTAAGTAAGAGTGACCCTTCGACGGAGTGACCTTTGGGTGCGGGCCAACAAGGGTCCCTCCAGTACTGGCCTGCGCGCGTGGATTTGGCCCCCTCCCCCCACGGCCCTCCAAAGCCGCGCACCACAGGCCTCTCTGGCCCACTGCACCTGGAAGTTGGACGCACATGACGCCGCCAGCCGGGGTGAGAGCTGGATACACACGCGGGCGCATGCCTCTTCCAGCGCGCCCGGCCGCGTACAGTGCAGGTCCATGCCAAGAAGCACCCTGCTTGCCTCCAGGGTGCCCTGGGCTTCTTGGGTTTCGGTGGTTTTCCGATGGACGGCGTGACGCTCACGCACCAAAAATCAGTGGGCGTCTTGTGGTCTCAGGGTCGGGTTTCTTGTGGAAGTTTTCTTGTGGATTGGCCTCCACTATGCTTCTGGCCGTCCTGGCAGGGCCACTGTTGCGCGTGGCTGGCTCGCTGTTGATGATCCCGGCAGGCCGGGCTGCTCGCGGCGGGGCCCGGGGAGGTCTCGGGCGCCCGAAACGGACGACCTCGGACGAGGAGGAGGAATGAGCAGGAGCAGAATGAGGGCGACGACTAGAACAGGATTATTAGGACGAGGACGAGGACGAAGAGGAGGAGGAGGAGGAGGAGGAGGAGGAGGAGATGGAGGAGTTGGAGGAGGAGGAGGAGGAGGAGGAGAAAGAGGAGAAAGAGGAGAAAGAGGGGGAGGGGAAGTATGCTAGGTGCGCTCGCGCCTCATCTAACATCCTATATTTTCTCCCATCACTTCAGTAGTCTCTATCCGCGGACGCGTGTCATAGCCGACCTGCGACTCACACAGAAAGACCACCTCGTGTTATGCGCAATATAAGAAAAGGGAAGCTGCGTGCACAGGAGGAGGAGGAGGTGGTGGGTGAGCAAGAGAACGAGCGGGATGGATGAGGACGAACAGCAGCAGGAACTAAACGGAAGGATCGGGAGGGAAAGGAACTTTAAGGGTAGCTCTTTGGGAGATGTTATAGTATCGGGAGCATAGCTCGCGCGCCGTTGCCTTTGGCTCAAGGCACCCGCGCCCTATGTGCCCGGACACCGCGAGTGTTCGCTATGTGCTGGAAAGACCGATACATCGATCTTATCCTATCTTATCCGTCCATTCCTCTTACTGAACCACGTCAGTACGATACCGGACGCTATTTGCCATCCGATGTCTACGGAATCGGATGCTATTTGAGTTACCAGGCTCACTTTCGACTTGGAAGCGGAGCTGGCCGCACTCTCGTGTGGTCAGCTCTTGCTCTTCTTAGCCGCATACTCTTCGGCACGATCTTCGTGACCACCTACCACCCTGCGCTACCACTCCCAGTACGTTTACGAGGATCTATCCAAGAACAAGAAGCGACACGAGAGGTACGACGTCTAGACAACGACATTGGTACCATATACGCTTCATCATTGCGCTACCACCAACCGCTCGGCAACGAGCCAAAAGCGCAATACCTGAAGCACGGGCGGAGAGATCCGCCAGATAGAGCGCCTCGAAGACTCGACAAGGCGCTACCCCAGCGCGGCAACGCGCCTAATAACCGCCCTTATCTACACAGCCTTGGGCTGGTTATCTTCGCTATCATATGGTTCGCGTTGGGGGCAGCAATCGGACACATGCGTCGTGGAGACAACAGCACCGATGGGCAAACACATGGCCCATATTGGGACCCTCAAGGCAACGTACCTTTCCGTGAGTACGTTTATGAGGTCAACGCATGGCTCAACGTCACAAGCGGACGTATGACGCCACAGGCCCAAGCGGCCGCAATACAACGCGGCCTAGGTGGCCTAGCGAGGACACTCGCCATGAGGGTACCGCCTGACATTATAAATTATGGTGCTGACATCGATGGGGTCCACACCGACCCAGTGACCTACATCATGTTCCTCTTAAGCATGAAGTTCGAGCGCCTGGAAGATGAGCGCCAGCTCACTTCCGGCACACAACTCATCGACTTCCACGTGCCTCACGGGGAACGAATCGACGTCACCCTTACACGATTCGAAATGGCCCGACTTGAGGCACAGTCGGTGGGATTTGACCTTCCCAACTTCCAACTACTAACCACGATCTTGTTCCGCGCCTTAGGCGTCGGCAACCAGCGAGCCATGCAACTCTCACAGCCACTCAATCACCAAATGCCCCGAACACAACAACAGTATGATGAGTTGCTGGAGAGGATGCGTTCGATAGGCCACCTATCCGAACGGTCTCCTGGTAATATAGGATCTGTATTTGGAAGGGGAAGGGGATCTGGTAGTGGAAATTTCTACACTACCTTGACTACTGAAGCCCAGCCTGGGAACGGGCCCTCAAGCATATGGGCTGATGATCCTGGAGAATCCACTGCTCTACTAGCAGGAGATCGATCACAACCAAGCTGGGCAACCAGCCCTCCTTCCGGAGAACCACAACCACACCGTCCCTTATGGGGTGAATCAAACCCCCTAACCGACGGTGTATCCACCTACTTGGGAGACGAGGATTTCGACCCCGGCACCGACACAGATACTATATCATCAGACGGTGCTGAAGCCTTAGATTGGTCAGATATTATGAATATGGATAATGACAACCAGCGTGCTGAACATTTGCTCTGGTTATTACAACAGGCCAAACGAAGGTGGAGGAGGTTCACACGAAAACCAGTGCGTCGTGTTAGAAGGAGGATACGGAGGAGTTTTAAGGGAAAAGGTAAAGGTAAGCGAGGTCGTCGGAGGTTGAACGGACGAGGCATCGCGGCATTTTTCCAGAGGCTCTCAGATGAACAATATGATGAGATATTCTTTGGGGGAAAGGGCCGCGGCAAGGGCCGCAGAGAGACCTCAGGAAAAAGCAAGGGTCGGCGGGGAAACCCGCGAAGTAGAGACGGTCAGGTTCTTAAATGCCATGAATGTGACAGTACCGACCATCTTGTGCGAGATTGTCCAGCGAAGGGAAATGGAAAGGGCAGGTCGACCGAAGTCCGTTTTGGCTCAAGTGAACCATTCATTGAGTATCTGAGCCTCCAGGATTTTGAAGCCATGGAGCAGATATTTTACACTTGGGTCAGTTGCATGGACAACGTCGACGAGCTCGAGGCGTATGGTCATGGCTTGTACGCGTACTACCTCGAGTACGTCCGCCGGTTCGTTATTGGCAACAACGAGCTCACTCCCGTGGATCACGGTACGCTGGGAAACCAGCCTCTTTCTTTCTTCGACTGGATGTTCGGGAACCCAGGTAACATCATGGCTTACGAAAGCAGTGACGAGGACATCACTGTAGAGGCCTCGCCTTCCGAGGTTGAACGCAACCTCCAACCTCCACCCGAAATCCCGCCTGGAAACAGGCCTACCTTGATGGGGGACTATCCCCAAACTACTGAAGACTTAATAGATATGGAGTCTCAGGCGTTCGTTCAAGCTTTCATTGCAGGTGAACCAGAGACCCCATTTATACCCCCTGGTTCGCTTGCTCCAGGTGAATACGGACCACGCGCTCTCCTGCAGACCCTCATGAGGATGCATGAGATACTTATCACCGCGCATCCCGAGAGTCAAGAGCACATCGAAGCTGACAGCATGATACTGCAGGATACCGACGCCTGCGGTGGCTCGGAGTTGTTGTTGGCAGCTCTGACTCTCATTGACAGCGTGCATCCTGAGGACGTGCAGAGACACCTGATATATTCCCGCGGTAGATGGCGCAATGCTCTGGAAATGGCTATCGCCATGCGCGGTCATGATCTTCCTCCGCCAGGATGGGGTCTCCAGGCGGTGGGAATGTGGCCAAACCATACGGCAATGCGCAACATTGCCGGGCAGCCTGTGCTCGGCAACGAGCCTGAGCCGACAACAGCGCCTCCTACCCCGGGGCAGCCGAGCGACGCACAGACGCCGGCCATGCAGGGAAACCTGCCTGTACCGGATACGCCAATGGCCATCATCATTGGTAGTTCTACATCAGAAGAAGAAGAAGGCGATGGTTGCGGACTAGATGAGGATGAAGTTACAATCCTCATGATGGAAGTTAATGGTGAGGAAGAGGTTGACTTCGATCCTGACGAGTCTGAATCATCATCACCATCGGCACAAGCGCCATTTGCGCCGAGCTCCAGCTGCCTCTGTTGGACGATCCACCTGGGATCGCACAGGGGCCTCCGCAGGCGCCTCCACCGGTTACCGCTCAGGCTGCTTCGGCAGCCTCTTCTGATGAGAACACCACAAGGTCTCGTTCCCATACGCGCGTCAGAGGAGAGCCACATCCACAGGCTCGGCTTCCTCGTGAGTGGAGGCAGGCTGGCCCGAAAGAACACGCTCTCAGGAGAGGTGGCCAGCTGCTTCCGCATAATGACCCAAGACGCCGAAAAGGGGAACACTCGGCCTTCGGCAAGGGCAACCCTGCCTATAGGGACACTGAGGGCAAAGCTATCCGCGGAGGATATCAGCTTGCAACAAACATCCGCCGCCCTGAAATTCAAGAAGCGCGGACTCAGCTGCGAGACATCATCGCGGCTCGCAAGCAGTATAGGCCCCAAGCAGCTCGCGGACCTTGTTCCGAGCCGTTCCAGAACCACAGGCCGGGATGCCCCGTTGGCAACAATGAAGGCCTGAGCCCCAACAGGGGCAAAACCCCTCATAGAGAGGGCCATCCGCAACTTATCCCGATGACACAGGACGAGATCGCAGAAGTGAATCGCCGTCTCGGGATCTTGGGCCACTTGGATCCGAAAGACGAAGAGGATAAACCTCCTACGGCTCCAAGGGGGCTGGTGCCCATGACCCAGGAAGAAAAAGACGCGCTCTTTAGTCTTCCTGGAATGCGAGGAAACTCGCCCGGCGTTTCGAGTCAGTCCCAGCAACCAGAACTGACATCCAAGGATGAACAGAAGGCCCAACGTGTGGCGGAGGACGAGGAGCGCATGCGGATAGCAGACGAACGCGCACGCGAGGCAACTCGCCAGATGTTGGAGGATTCCAACAAGATTTACATGAAGGGGGCTAGAAAACCCCCACTCCCACTACTTTCGAAGGCTAAGAGTGAAACCCCTGCACCGAAGTCGTCCTCGGAGGCGAAACCGAAGGCGCGCTCTCAGGACCCTGGGCCAGATGTGCAGATGGAGGTGCCTCGGTCTGCAACTCCGAGGCCGCCGATTGGCGCAACTCCTGCACAAGCGCCTGAGCCCAAGCAGCAACCTCAGGACCCTGTGGAGGAACGGAGACGTCCGCCTAGTCGCAGCAGCTCCATTGCGAAAAGGGCCGCAGCTTTCGAGCGCACCGGGTATGCCCCTGCGCCAGCTTCGCCGGTGGCGGCCCGTTCCAAAAGGTCCGACGAAGGTGCCATGTCTAGGGGTACCTGGGCGCCGACGATCAGGGGCAGCGCCAGTCGCGGATCACCGCGGGGAAACCCGCCAGGCGCTGCCGCTGCAGCTTCCTCTTCTTCAGGAGCCGCAGCCTCTTCAGCGACAGAGGTTCCTATGCGGGGAAACCCGCCCGTG